TATCAAATGCTTGTAATTTTTTTAAAAATTGTTAAAGCCACAATGTAAAAAAATATAAATGCTTACAAAAAGGACTGAAAAGAAGCACATCAAAATGGTGAGCTTCAAATATTTTTACACTTAGCAAGTGTTACTATTATAGTCAGAAAAAAAGGAAAACTCTAACAAATTTCTCTAAAAAAAGAAGCAAGTACATTCTTTAAAAGAAATTTCATTTCTTTGTTCCAATAGTTTTCTTTATCTGTTCCTATTTGTTATCCATAGTAGTTTGTACATATATAGTCAGAGCTCATGTTATGGGTTCCTTTTAACATTTTGTAAAGGAAGGCTTTTAAAAACCAGTAGGACAACAACAACAAAAAATTATTTTAAGAAAAAACAGTTACATAAAGCATTTTTGTAGAAAAATCAGGCACTTAGACACAATCATTTTTTGAAATAGTGCTTGTGTTCACTGACATTTTTTCCTTTTATTAATGTTTAAACAAATTACTTGTATTTTTAATTCTCTTTGCAATCTGAAACATCTCTTTGTTTTAATAGTGGTTCTAGACACACATTCTTGACACTTTTCAGAAATAAATGAGACATATCCTAGAAATCTATATAATTTAAATTTATTTCCGACTTGACAGATCTCAGCTCTATTAATTTTAAGGTTTCAATCATATTGTCTTGAGACCATGTCTGTGATATGGCTTTCTCCTCCTATCTTCCCGTCTTACCCCCACAATGCCTTGCTCTCTTCCTAAACTTAGAGAGAATGAAGAACTCAGACTTCTGTTAAAATGACCACAGTGTACTTTATTTAATGATTTTGGTACCTTGTGTTGCAATAAAATAAAAAAAATCTACAAAATCCAAATATATAAAATTTCAAGTTTTTTTTCTTCTTTTTTAAAAGTTTTACAAGAAAAATCATGTAACCAAGGAAACTTGTTCGTTATGAAGCATTACTTTCCACTTCATTTCATCACAAATTGCAACTTACTTAACAGACCAAAAGAACGATGGTACTGCAGAACATCAAATACTCCACACACTGTGCTCTCAACTAGAGCACGTGGGACCGCGGCCCGGGCAGCGGCCTCCAGCCAATGAAGACACTCTTATCATCTGAATGCTAAAGGGATGCTTGGATACATGGAGTTTAAATATATATATTTACAGGAAGGAAAAAAATTAGTAACTAGTTTAAGTCTTCATTTCGAATAAAAGGCCAAATACATTTGTACAATGTTCACAAAGTAAAAGCACAAGAGCTGCCAAGGTTGTCATTCGGGTCCAGGCACTGTGCTTGTAGTGGGGGGAATGTCACACGGTTCCTAAACACACACACACACACACACACACACACACACACACACACACACACACACACGGGGTCTCTTGGACCCGATTTCTGTAATGGTCGCGGGGAAGAGAGAAGCACAGGAATGGCAATCAGAATGTCATGCAGAGAGCCGACAACAGGGAACTGAGAAACGGTCGGTCCATTCTCTTAGGCCTGCGGTTCGTCTGCCACCTGTTACAGTTTCTTTTTCAGAGATAGGTTTCAAATGAAAAAAAGAAAAATTGAACAGGGAAAGGAGCACAATATGTTTAAGGCAAATTAAGCAAATATAGAGCAGCTTCTCTTGGTGTGGAGTGGAAATGAGGATTTTTACCCCAAATCCAACAGAAACAAACGGACAAAATGAAGTGCACCTCCTGAGGTTGAGTTGCTTAGGTCATACACACATTTTTGAAAATTGCTTTGCACCGAGTATCCTTTTGGAACTTTAAATGAAAAACTTGTTGGTTACAAAGTGCATGACTTCATGTTTCTAAATTAAACAACACGAGCTGAGGTAGTTAGATGTGAAACTTATTTACGTAAAATAACTGGAGAATGAAGGACAAACATCAGTAGCAAAAATCCTTGTCATTTGAAAGCAGGTTTATACGGTGCTGTGGTAGAAATGCTTCTATTTTCCTATCAGATGTTATTAATTAAACCAGAACATTAATGATAAGCGACGTTTGTTTCCAATTTGCTTGGTCAGTACAAAGGAAGTCTGTATCCCCAGTGATTTTGTTTGCAGCTCATGCTTTCACCATTTCTGCACTGGAGCTATAACCAAGTGGCATTAGCTATCATTCCTAGAAATTTCTGATCTAAACTGCAAGAAGAATTTAATAAAAATCGAGAACAGTATCCATAGGAAGGACAATTTTTGCTCTTGCTTTTACAATAGTTTTGTCTTAGCCCTAAATTCAATGTACTATTTGGTTTCAAAGTGGGAGGGACGCTGGCTCATTGGTTACCCTCCTTGTTCTGAGAAAGGGAAAAACCCAATTTGCATATTCATCATCATCTCATCTGGGAACTGAAAAGAATAGCAGAAACAATTTGGCAGCGGCAAAGTTCTCCACCCAAGGGCCTCTCTCTGCTCTTTGCCCCCTTCACTAAAGTGAGGCATCAGGTGAGAGCGTCATGAGCAATCGACCAAAAGCTTCGTCTTTCAGCTATCTCCTACCCTCTAGACAGGAAAGGAGTTTTATGACAGCAGTATGGATATAAAGAAGATGGAAAACACTATTTTTTGAGCAAATGAGAATTTTTCATATGTTTTTACCACTTGTTTAGGGATAGAATGTTAACTGGAAGTAGCCATGAAAGTTGATAGCAACATCTAAAAGAGCATCACACGTGATGATCTACATAATGGCTGAGCCATAGCAGTATAATCACATTTATCTTTGCTAAAAAATCGTTTTCAAGAGTCTCTGGTTTTCAGGCAAGACTCTGGAAATTTTCACGTGGGCTGGAAAGCCTTAAAAGGAATAAAATGTATGGGGCATTCAAATGTCCTTTCCCCCAGTAATTAGATGTATAGCTTATATCTAATAACATGTTGTATCCCCCTGTTTTTTCCTCTAGAATTAAGATTCTACCATTTCAAAGAATTGTCCAGCTCTCACACTGTTTGATTCTGTTTTGCCCCCTTCTGGAAAAATCTCCCAATGACACATTCACCCCACTGCCCTTCTCCCACCTGAGCCAGTCCGCCTGAAAAGCTGCCACACCTATTCTTGTTTCCAGACCCTCACGTCTAGTCAATTTCAGTTTTCTTGTGTAAAAACAAAGGAAAGACATGGATATTTCCCTTTGTAGCAAAGGATATTCGGCTGCACTTTTTGTTGAAAAAGTGTTGATGATGGTACCTGGGGGGAAACGAAGCCCACATTATTTCGACTCACTTCTATACTCATTTTTGGAGTCTAGAAAAAAGAATATTTATCTAAGTCTGGTGTAGTGACACAAATTTTTGTTAATGGATCAGATAATTGCTTGGGTTAAATTCATGCTTCAGAAAGCTTAATACCATGCATGGGAAATGTGTGAGCGATCTGAAATGTTAAGTGTTTGACCTATCCCTGGCAACTGAATTTTGGAATCAGAAGATTGTTGAACGTGGATGTGGTGTCAGCTCCAGGTGCAACGTGATTTTTTAACCCTCTTATTGAAATAAACTTTCTGAAACCTTATTTTGTATTTCCAAGAGCCTGCAAATTTGTTTTGCAAAGGAATATAATTATTAAGTAAGGGCACAATGACAATATTTATGCACAACTTTGCTCCACGAAGTCACAGCATTAAAACATTATCTGTGTTGTTAGTATAGTCCCTGGGTGTGTTTTTACTTTAGAATATTGCCTCCATGACTCAATATGGACAAATCAAGTTATTTAGCACACACTTAGGTAAAAAGAAAACATGGGACTTCGGGAGGAAGTTGTCTAGAATGGTGTCTGTGATGGTTTCCCCCACTCTTTGTCCTTTACTGTTATTCCCATCTACGTCCGTGCGAGTACATGTGTGTATCAATGTGTAGCTGAAGCCCTGTGTAATCACTTCTCTGAAATATTTAAAATATTTATAATCTGGAAAATGCATCAACTCAGGAGTTCCAGGCAGAAATAAGGCTTTACACTCAAAGGGTTGTAAAGGGAGAGACGTGTCACCTTAGGGATGAAAGCGAATCTCACTGTAAACAACGCACAAACCTAATGTGAATAATATCTATTAGAATTTTCCCTTCCCTACAGCGGGTTCCACACCACCACATGACAATCATTAGTGTTGAACCAGAGTGTCACGCACGCACCCTGAAAACTGTAGCGTGGGATCAGGCGCGCCGACCCCTTAGGCCTCAGAAGGAGCCCAGTTTTCTGGACACGTATAATGAAATGTTTTGTAAAATTCAGTTTGGCTCAGAGGAATATTGTCGTTCTCTACGAAAGCTTCTCTGTATGAAAGGAGTTAATTTTCTCGTTAAAAAGCTGATAATTGAAAAGACTTGTACATAGACCTTTGAAGGAAAAATTCCCGCGTTCACTACGTGATGAAGAATGATGGTATTCTTTGCTTGGCGAGTTATTGCTGTTGTGCTCCAAACTGCCTGCACCTCCTCCACCACAGCCTGTTCCCGGGCGTGCTCAGTTCTCCTTTGTGCGAATACTAGTTATCAAGGGTCAAAGCACTTTGAGAACTCTAAGTATTCTTCACAACACCCTTATGAGGTAGGTAGATAAATATTCTCTCTTTTTACGCATGAAAAAATGGAAAAATGAGGTGGGATGTGAGTTTCTGAGGTTAAAATGACCAACCAAGGATGAGGATACGAGTGCTCAGACCCCCAGACCCTGTGCTTCCATCACCAGACCAAGCCCCTCCATGCCCTGCCCTCCAGAAAGGAACCTATTCCAGAGTGTAAAAGGATACCATGTCATAGAATATATTTAAGCATATTTAAAACAGCCAGTACATGCCCTGGATGGTGTGGCTCAGTTGGTTGGAGTGTTGTTCCCTTCACTGGAGGGTTGTGGGTTCGATTCCCGGTCAGAGCACATCCCCAGGTTGCAGGTTCAATCCCCAGTCTGGGTGCGTGAGGGAGGCAACTGATGGATGTTTCACTCTCACATTGATGTTTTTTTTTTTTTTTTTTCTCTCTCTCTCTCTCCCTTCCTCTCTCTTTCAAATAAAAAAAAGTAAAACAAAACAGTAATTATATTCAACACAGGGACTTTCAGTTTTCTATTAAACCATAAATTCCATTCAATTATCACATAAGAGATAACTGGAAAAGAATGTCTCAGGTTTTTGTAGTTGCCAACTAATCGTCTCTCTGTTGCCAATTCACCTAAGCATTGAACTAAACATCCTGTCAATAACACGAAGGCATAAATGATTTGGAAAAGGATGCAGTGAAGTAAAAATCGCAAGGAAAAAGCAAAGCAAAGCTAAGTTGGGTAGCAGCTTTGTGATCCTGGAGGCTTTGAAGGGTGTGTGACTAGCAAACGGACTTGCCCCCAAAGGAGAATTTACAAAACACAGTTCGCACATAGCCATGACACCAGTAGCTGGAGCCCTTTGGTACACAAAGTGGAGTGGCCATTTGATTTTCGGGAAACTTCTGCATCTGATGGCAGGAGGGGCTCAGTGAGGAAGGGAACTGCCTACCCCATGAAGTCTTTCTAAGTTGGCACTAAATGTAGGATTTGACACAACCAAAACACTTTCTAAGAACCTACAAACATTTTGATATTCTCTGGCAATCCCCTCATGATCTTTGCATAGCTGAGTCCCTCCCGGTGGTCCGTGTGCCTGCTTGTTGTCAATGCCCTGGGGAAAGTTTTACAACATAAGCACACTTCAAAGAAAATTGGGCTGAATTGTTTGCCTGTTTCTCTGGCCAGCTTCAGAACAGTAAGTAAGGTAAGCACACAATTTGAGGAAATACACATGCTCACCAATCCAGAGCCAAATCTGAGGAAACAAGGAAGAAATGTCCACAAAGAATCATAAATATAAGAGTTGTATGAATAGCTCAAGCATCCTTTCTGGAAAATCAATTTCTCTTTGATATCATTTTTTTTCTTTTAATGGTGACTGTAAAGAAAACACCAGTATTCTAATATGCAATAACCAGTTGGTCTTTGGCAATCAGAATGACATCGACCAATCAAGCCACAAGAAAAAAAAGTATTTTTTTTTTTAATTTGGGGAAAAAAAGATTTTACTTCTATCAATACTATAAAATTCACCATGAAGTAACTGCATCAAGCAGTTTAAACTATTCTATGCCCAAAGATATAAGAAATTCTTAAAATTAAAACTCCCATTTGAAGAATAAAAAGTTAACGAATTTGTATTTCCCTTGAACAATTCTGTCAAACATTGTGAATGACTAACCTTATGTGAAGAGCAGAGGGGTAACTATAAAATAATGAAAGATGGAAACGGGCTGAATGAAAAGGTTCCTTGCCAGGAAGGGCTGAGTGTCGGAAGCAGCCCTGTGGTGCAATCACGTGTGAATACAGCCTCTCAAACCTCTTTCATTCATGTGTTTGTTGAAAGTAAATAAACATCAAATGGCATTTCTCTGCATTATTTACTTCTCTTTGCACAACAAAGAGCTTTTATTTAGCAGCAGAGCATCACCAGCAGCAGATTACTGCACAAGGAAGTTAAACTCCATGCCTACAACACCTGAGCCTTTTCTGTCTCTCTAGGCAACACCCGACAACCAGAGGAAAAACTGTGATTCAAACACCTAGATGTTCCCAAATATCCAGATGTTTGACATCACAAAGACCAAATTTACTCCTTGGGTGACCTAACGCTTCACTTCCATGGGGAGATGTGCATTCATGGGGACAGTCTTTGTTTTTTAATAACACCATAGTGTCCACTTCAGTTTAGTGAAGATGGCTTAGCAACCACCTGGAAAATTCAGATGTTAAAAGCCCCCAGTGACAAGAAACTTAATCGTGAGGAACAATCAGAGCTTTAGGGCTATCAATGGTCTAGTAATTTTGTCTACATTGAAAAATTGTTTTTCCCCCCTTCCATTATTCTAAAAATCATTCTCACAAGAATTATTTTTCCAACATGGGGATCGATGCACAGACTAGCGGATGGCAGAATCAAGACCCAAAATACGTTTAAACGAGTCAGTTAATATGTGCAAGCCAGGTGTAGTGAATGTGAACACAGAGGTCCGTGTGATGTCATGAACTATTGACAATGGGATAATGAGCAAGGCCATGGTGACCCTGAATCTCACGGTGGTTAAAATGAGGGATAATTCGATGGATCATGTCCTGCAAGCAAAAGTACTTACAAGACCTTAACCTATCGCATCTTATAACGCACCAGAAGCTGTTGGCAGCTGCAGTGTCCAAGGAGAGTTGTCCTGGGGGACAGTTTCCTTAAGGACAGAGTTAGGCTCAGACAGGAAACCACGGCATCTCCTCTGTCTTCCCACCGCACTCATGCTTTGGCCTTTCATAAACAGACACATCTATTGTCATGGTTATTAAACGGCAGTGCCACCTTGAACCTCTGCTCTAGAAGAAGGCAAGTATTCCTGACGACCCACCGACGGGTTTCCTCTTCAATCTCCACACCCCGACCTCCACATGAATAGAAACCTTCTGTCCTAACACTACTCAGAGGCACGCTTACTCATAAGCCTTATGGAAGAGGACGGTTTATTGCTCCTGTGTCTCCACAATCATTACCAACTCATGGTAGATTAGAGTACCTTTTGTGCCTATTTTGGCTGTGGAGTTCAGGAAATGAACATTTTCTTCCATGTGTTGGTTTCCATTGCCTTGCCACTGCAAATTAGTCACATGGTGGCAGGCCACTTTTATTACCATTAAATTTCACTTCTGAAAATGACTTGCCAGGGGAGGGGACGCAGCATGACGCTGGCGCCTAAAACGGGGACTGTCGCTCAGGAAAAACATCTTTGAAACACAAGGAAAATGACCCCTGCTTCTTTTTCTTATTTTTTTTTCCATTTAGATTGTTTGGTGGATAAATCAGATGACTTTTACTCATTCATTTATGGTTAACTCCTAAAATTCTTATATGAAGGCATTTGGACAGAAAACATAACACCTTATAGATGCCTGACTTGGTTGCAAACTCTGAAACTATAACGTGAACTCGACTCATTCTTACCCTGCAGCTCAAAGTGTTCTTTAAAAACAGAGAAGCAAGTGGAAAAGAAGCACGGTTTTAAATTAGGAGACGATCTGTTTACGTATACGGGAACTGAGAATGTGAGATCGGGGATTTTAGAGTCACAACCAAGGTTTTGCCAGGGTCGAAGCAACAGGAGAGCCAGTTCTACATACAAATGCATCTCCGTTTGAAACTGGCAGTGTCACCACCTAGCAAGGCAGGAGTCAAATTATTCAATAGCTACAGCCATGCAGATTTTACCTCTGAAATGGAATTATAAATTTGATTTGTATAAATTTGTTATTACAATGCTGACAACGGCACTTCTAAGAAATGAAGTAAGGGCAGCAGCTATACCCAGACAGATCAATCATGAAACAGGTGACAATATCATTTTTTTTTTCCATTTTCAAACACAAGTAGATTTGTATTCATTGAAAGTGAGTCCCTATGACCCAGTACCCATTTTCTGAGTGATGCAAGGCCCCAGGAATCCATTGAATCCTTTTTCTTTTTTTTTTCAAAGCAGTGCTTACTGGCAAAAGCAAATGAAGTGGGTGAATATCCATAGCGTGGATGACGAGGAAGCAGGAGCAGGAATTCCCAAGTGCTCTACTTCACCGGGGTCTTTCTCTTTGGCCGGCCGGGCACATCACCACACAGCACAGAGCGCAGGGCCCCTTCCCACTAACTGATTGATTTTCCCTTGCAGTGGCTTGGCTACCATATTACAAGTCAAGAATTTGCAAGATTCAAGGGTCTGTTGAATGAACGAACGCAAATCACCTTCAGTAAAGCTTGACAAGTTCCCAGACGGTTCTGTAAAAGAGAAGGGAATCGATGGCATCAGCAATACGCAGCTTGTGACATGGAGGCTTGCTGTCTGCGTGGGGCTGGCTTGCCCCCTTCCCCTTTCTCGGGGCAGGAGAGGTTTCTTTCTTTTCACACAACACCAAGCTTCTGATTCAGACCAAGGAAAATGTTGCACCCTGGGCTTTCGCAACATACGTCAGAGATCTGTTTCCCTGTCTATGTACAATACATTAGAGGGGTTACTAAAGGAAGTCAACTATTTTAGTTCTTTGAAAGAAGGAGATAAAATGACAATTCTCTGACTAGCTGACAGACCTCCTTTGCTTACAGGACATGTGCGATTGCTCCCAACTTAAACAGAATAAGAACTTCCAGAGGGCCATCAGTGGTCGGCAAACTCATTAGTCAACAGAGCCAAATATCAACAGTACAACGATTGAAATTTCTTTTGAGAGCCAAATTTTTTAAACTTAAACTATATAGGTAGGTACATTGTTATTAACTTAATTAGGGTACTCCTAAGGCTTAGGAAGAGCCACACTCAAGGGGCCCAAGAGCCGCATGTGGCTCAGGAGCCGCAGTTTGCCGACCACTGGAAGCCACAGGTCAAAGGTCAGTTGCTAAGTTAATGCAACAGTACCTAACACACCCAAACACAAGGCTCATCGTCCAGAATTACAATGGGTTGAAATGCCTGTGTTGATTAAGACATGTTCTACTGGTTTGTAATCACATAGGTATCTCTTAAAATAATAGAAACCCGAACTACATTTTCCGCATACTTGGGAGTTGTTTTAGAATTTACTGATAATGAATTAACTTGAAATAATTGTGTTGATTTGATACCAGAATGCCACCAGAACAGTTAGATTAAATTAGCTTAAACTCAACATCTCCATTTGTTAATACTTGTAGCATTTAATGAAATAAGAATTTGATTATTTCCATTTTAATGCAAATCAAGCAATAGAGAGAGAAGGGGGCTACCAGCTTAATTTTGTAGACGAGTGTATAATAAAAACACGAAACCTTACATTTTCCGAAATTCTAATAACAGAGTAGGTGACAGGCTGCAATAATAACACAAGAGAAAATTGTGTTGGTACTGTTCTGGTAATACTTGCTTATCACGTTGATTAATTAGTTTTGATGTTAATCTCTTTTGTTAAACATCTTTGCTCTGCAGATATTGCATCGGTAACTATGCTTTTCTTGTTTAGTGCAATGGCTAAAACCAGGCGGGGGGAGGTGTTATGAGTCACAGTCAGGGTAATGGGGGTGTAAACCTAGAAATCATGCCTTGGACCTCACACCATTATTCCATCAACTATTTTATTGATGCCTAATGGGACTCACCAAGGAATTCTTTTAATTCTGTGGAATCTGTAAAAATTAATATATATTTTTTCTTTCCTTCCTGAACTGAACTGTGAGAAAATCTAAGGAAGTAATAACCAAAGAGAAATTTGATTTAGCCAGTGTTTCTGACATATGATGTCAGTATATTATTTGTCAGTAAAATATTTTAGCAAAACAATTAGACATTTCAGGGACATTAACCCACCCCTTATTTAGCAGAACACAGGCCACAGAGGTTGACTGAAGTTTTTCATATTTCGGGGCTAGATCACTGGGTACAAAATAACAAAAGTCTGATTTTTTCCTTGCAGCATCTAGAGAAAGAACTCCAAATAGATGGTGAAACAATGTGATACCTTAAATCAGCGGTTCTCAACCTGTGGGTCGCGACCCCTTTGGCGGTCGAATGACCCTTTCACAGGGGTCGCCTAAGACCATCCTGCATATCAGATATTTACATGACGATTCATAACAGTAGCAACATGACAGTTATGAAGTAGCCACGAAAATAATTTTATGGTTGGGTCACCACATGAGGAACGGTATTTAAAGGGCCAGAAGGTTGAGAACCACTGCCTTAAATACTCCAGGGAGTTTCTGAACGCCTCATTTCTCTGCTGTGAGAGCAGGTTGTGTGCGAGCTCGCCTAATTGCTACAATTGGCAAAATTAAATGGCTCATCGTGTTTTTATACAATTCCACCCACATTGCGCAGAGTTTTGCTTTTGACTGAGTAATTATACTGTGGAGGCTGTTGACACAGACACATACTGACACAGCATCGGGATAAGACCTCTGTCCATGGACAGTCTGCCGCGGACAGTCCTGAGTGAGGGAGGAGGTGCTGCCCGACTGTCATTCCACAGCCTGACCCAGGTAAGGGCCAGAGATTTGGAAACGGGCGTGGGTGGTAGAGGGAGGTGGCCCGTCCTTAGCCATTTTGAAATGCCCCAGCTTCAGATGGGGGGCGGGGGGAAGGTGTTATGAGTCACAAGCTGGCTAAAGCAATCATTTTGATTGTTGTCAAAGTGACACTGGATTCCTGAAGATAAATGAACATGAGCTCATCTGCATCCATCACTGAAGTGATAGAGTCAGCCACGTCAGGCCTGCTGTGTTTTCATCATGCACTTCAGCCACGCTCTGAGCTACATTTCTGAAAGGCGGTCGGAGCTATTTTTAAAAAGGCTTTAAGGAACTCTCCTCAGAGAAGCAGGCATCTCATCCAAGCTTTATATAGAAACGGTAATGGCTAATGGCAAAGACGTGTGAGAATGCAGGGGAGCGCATATTTCCTCTAGAAAATGGTTCATTAGAAAAAAGTGTCTCTGGATTTTTGTCTAAACATTGTGTCAGAATTTCCTTCCGCTCAATGGCATTTGGTGCATTTAAAGGCAAATGCGTCACCTTACACACCCCTGGTAAGGACACCAGAGGTTTTCTTTGCTCAATTCAATCAGTTCAGAGAAAGAAACTTTGAAATGACTCAAAAGGATTCTTTTCAGCTTCTTAAAGGATGAGATCCTTAAGAAGTGATAAAGCTCATTCAAGCTAAAAGTGCTAGATTGTATCTAGGCACTTCCAGCTGAAGTTCATAGGTGTGTTGCTATCTTATAGACAGGCACTGCAAGCTTGAGTTGATGCTAAAAAATGAGGAGGAAGAAGTTTTATTTATCTAAAAGCTCATGTGTGAGTAACATACCAATTTATATGCATAAAAAGGGAGCATTTACTTTATCCCTTTCATCTGTTACTCTAGTGTGTGTGTGTGTGTGTGTGTGTGTGTGTGTGTGTGTGTGTGTGTATGGTTTATAACATACACACACATATAGGATTATATTTTTTAAAAACATCATTGAGATGTCAATTTTTCCCATTTAGTTTTAAGTTCTCATTGCTATCACTTCATTCATTCATAGATCAAAATAAAGTGGGCATTTAGAAAATAAGCATAAATACTTCATTATACTTTATCTTCAGGTTACATTTATATATTTCGCTAGTACTTGAACTGCATATTTTTGCTATGTCAGTAAGAATTTATTACATTTGTTGAGGTCACCGCATTATCATAAATGAATAGTAACTGATTGTCTGCCAAGTCAATATTACTGGACTAGACAGAACACAGTTAAGTAGGACAAAGCAAATGTATGAAGAGAATTTAAAGGACATCGTCATTTTGGGGGGCCAAACTTGGACTTAGGTAAAAAAATTATTTTCTTCCACACAAGTACTTGAAGTCTGTGTGGTCAAGATATATATGTTTTTTAATATTACCTATGGTTTCATTTTAAAATGCTACTTTGAAGGTGAAAACATTTATAATATTTTCTTTTAGAAAATTGTATGGTCCTATGCAAAAAGTGGGTACTGAGAGCAGACCCCTCCTCTTCAAGAAGTCCAATAAGCTCCTGCACAGGATGTTGGAGCCCACAGAGAAAAAGTCCAGCATTTCCAGTCTGTATGCTAACCATGGCTTCTTCCTTGTGATTCCCCACTTGCTCTCTGTGGAGGGTTTAATGGCAGATTGAAAACGAAATCTTAGGAAGAACTAAAATATAAACACAAATATCAAACTCTGTTCCTTGGTACATTGACAATGTCTCTTTAACTCCTAACACTTTACACTCTCTGTTATCCGTGTGTCTATAAACTAATGAGTTGTCATCACCACATAGTCCAATGGCTGTGCTTTCTAAGTCATGGAAGATTAAATCATGATTTACCTTGGGAGTATATTTTTGTTGTTATAATCTTGAGAAAAATTGTAATTTATTACATGTAGGAGATGTCATTTCCTTAACAAGAATTTTTTTTTACTAAAACATCATAATCTTCAAGTATGTTGGATAACAGAGTATTTACAGTATTTGGGAAATTATTGAAAAATTGAAACTTCTTACACCCTCCTGACTACATTCTCACCTCCAAGACAAAGCACAGTACACCATCTTTTTAAAAATTCACATAACACTCATTTTGACTCTTAACATGTTAAATGGGGGATACAGTTGAGAAATAATTTAAGACTTACATGTTTGAAGAATGATAGAGCCTATGGCATTTGTGTTGATTAACACTATTGTTCTGTTATCTGTTATTTGCTCATGGAATCAAAGGTATAGTTCAACTGAGCAATTCAGTTTCCAAAGATCATCAATTAAAAGGTGTATTGGAAACAATAAAGCTAATAACTCGTGGTTCTGCATAAAAGTGGAGCGTTTGTCAGTGTAATCATTTTTTTCCTTTTACAGTGGGGGTAGAATGTTTTCACCAATTGCTGACAAGAGGGGTATTTTCCTGGGCCTTTACTGGTGACTAGGAAATCTTTTCACGTCCAATCAAAAGATCATTGTTTTTTTAGTGAAAATCTTGCTTGGAGGTTCAAATCACAGCAGAATAGGAAAGTATGTCTGCGGATAAAAATTGTCTACTTTTAAACATTGCTTTAGGGCTTGTACCAAAAGAAGCCCTATGTTGAGTGCTCTATCATTTCCTGTGGATGCCATCACGGGGACAGCAGTCTCTGTATGGCACACCCATTACAGGGGGTGGCTATAGACCTTGACCATTTTAAATTAATTGGACAGTCCCAATAACTGGATAATGAAGTTAAACTGACAGTTTTTCTTTTTTAGAGACTTGACTAATATGTCAGTTGGGTTAATATAAACTAGGGAAGGAAATTTAAAACATCTTCCACTGTGGTCAAGTTTGTCATAATGGATGGATAAAAGTAACCATTTACATCTTTGATTTCCTGGAAAACAATGGCCAGTCTTGACAAGCCCTTTCTAGTTAAGCTGATTCTCTCTTCACCTGATATCCTGACAGCACCCCTGGCCAGGTTCCTGGGGACACAGACATGGCACAGCCGGGTGATTATGCAAAAGGCAAGTGTTCTCAATCTGCCAAGGCAGACTGATGGAATTTGTGGACCAGTTTCTGACATCCCAAATAATTGTGATGCTTAGAGTATTTTAAACAGTTCCAGGTCTATAAAAAGGTGATGATACCTATATGTATACCCTATATTTCTTTATTACAAAAATATTGAAATAATTCATGAGTTATTCCACTCTGCACCAACTATAAAAAAATACTATCAAAGTTTGGCTGGCACTTTTAATGCAACAAAAAGCACCATGACCGAGGACACTGGGAACAGAAAATGGGGAACGCTTACTTGCTGTACGGAGGTATTTAATACCAGAAGCTTGTTGTAAGAGTACAACTTTACAAATGATTCAAATGCAAATCTTAGCTGGATCTAGTGATAAGCCCTCAATCAGTTCAGAAGGGTTTTCCCCTAGCATATTCACTGCATTTGTCTGCTCATACTTACTAAAAAGTGTCCCAAAGCCTCTAAAAGACACATCACTTTGACCTTGAATTGGTGGTGGTGGTGGGGGAGTCTGTACACAGTGGAGAACTTGAATGTTCATTCTAGTTTCCGCTTCTGTGGGGCTCATGCCGCTCCATCTCAGTTATCCAGGGCTTCCAGGTGAGTCCTGGGATTGGACGGTGTTTGGCACTAGAAAGATGGGGCATGGCGTGTTCTGGAATCATGCCTACCTGAGCTCAGGCAGAGCCACGCCTTCTGAGATCTGACACATCCAGTTCCAACCCGGTCCTCTCTCGCCAATCTGCTCTTACGTTCCAATGTGCGCTGCCCAGGCCGGGAAATCAGACGCTCATTTTGCCTTTTTTCCCACTTTCTCTTCCGGTATTTATTAAATTTTTGCAATTGAATACTGAATCACGATTACCATTTACTTTGTCACTAAGTTAGCGAGCTCCTTGGTCTTACCAAACGCCATACATGTGCTGCATAGGATTTCTGTCATTAAAGATGTTCTCAACTGGAAACTTAAGATTAAAAAACCAATCCTGAAATGTGTTGAAAACGAACCATTCCTTCACTTCTAATACACGTGTAAACACACTTGAGTTTGCTGTCCACTGGACAGGCTTTTCACACATGGTATGTATTGGTTTCCAAATGAGCATGGTTTATGAATTCTTTTCTAAGCAGTACTACTTTTTTCCTGGAGTCTTGAGGGATATATTCTCTCCCGGTTTTAATATTCCTGTGAGAATCAGAGCTTTTCATCAAGAAAAATCACCTAAGCTATTTTGACAGAGGACTGGTGTTGTGTGTGTGTGTGTTAGTGTATGTGTGTGCATGTATGTGTGTTATGACACTATATTTTTATGCAGAGATCAGTTAATTTCATCAAAACACCCTAGGGATCAGAGGCAACATTTTCCATATTCATAGGACCCTCGGGTGGATGCGCTGAAAGATAGTGTAGGACAAGTTGGTAGCAACCAGGAGTCCTCCCAGTGGCAGGAGACTGTCGGGGCTGCTGTTTGAAAGAAGGCCAGCAGCAGGCAGTCAGCTGACGGAGGGTCAGACAGTAACCATGACGACGGTCAGACTACAAGCATGACAGCTCATTTCCCTACTCTAGGATGGAGTTTCATTATTGCCACAGGCCTGCCACCACCCTTTCTCTGGCAGCTGTGGCTCCTCCCAGTCTTTTTGTTTTTATAAAGTGGTTTCATACTCCAGCCGCTCCTGAATTAGGGCGTCATCTTTGTACTGCAGCCTTGGAGGAGACGGTGAACATTCAAAGGCTAAAATGGCCTTCCGGAGGCTTCGGTCCAAAACGTGTCTCTCCCACGCTGGGTACCTATTCCTGAACAGGTCAATTTTAATGACAGATTCTTCAATCCGTGGCGGGCGCGATGATGGGGTGGATGGGGCTGTGGGTCTCACCTGAAAGACAGGTACACACCCATCCCGCTCTGCAAATTTCTGGTCGCGGTCACTGACAACACTGCGGTTGTTGGAGATGGACCGCAGCGTGCTCGTGGCCACTTCTGGAGGCAGGGTGAAGGCAGCGACGGGGTCCTCACAAGCACAACTTGGCGACTGCCCGAATCTGGGTCCATTGGGGTGAAAGAAGGCATAATACATCAGCATAAAAACCACGCCCGTTAAAAAGCTGCTGAACACCACACACAGCGCCGGGATGGCAAATGCATCTGCAATCTGGGGAGCCTTGTAGAGGTACCAGAGGGCACTCAAGGCTGTATTTTCCAAAAGGATCACAAAATAGTAAATGAAGAGCCTGCAGCGTGTCCTGCCTTCCTTGACGTTGAACCAGCTGAAGATGTAGATGATCCCCACCACCATGTCGAACACGATCTCTTCCCATTTGGTGATACAGAATTCTGTCTCACAGTGGACGATCCAGAAGGTCATGATGCACCAGTGAAGGACGATGAAGATCCCAAAGTACAGCTGGAAAACCGAGGCAAAGAGGGCAAAGGTGATGACCCTGGCAGCGATGGTGAAGAAGTGCCAGCAGAACTGGATGACAACAGCCATGTAGCTGATGGGCTTCTTGTCATCTCGGGAGTCCCGGAGGGCCTTCTGGTATGAGGCCAAGGCCCAAGCCAGAGATACCAGGGAGGCTGCCGCTGTGAAACCTACAAAGGCAAACAGGAAGACATTCTGAGTGAGATGCAGTGTTGTCTCCGGGAAATAGTCATGCGGGCTGGGGGCTTGAGACAGGCTAGCTTTGACCTCTGCAAAGATTGTAATTTCTCCGAGTTTTAGCTGGGCCTAACACTCAGAGGGGGCTCCTCGTTATCTGTCCTCGATGGGACCCAACCACATGGAGAAGTCATGAACTAATCATGGAACGTAGGATCTGGAAATGGAGTGGGGTTTAACTTCCATGTGTTTGGCGTACATAGACTCAGGAGGTAGTTTTGTGTAGTGGGAATAGAGCCGTGGGTTGGAGGTTAACAACATTGGGTTGCTGTTTCAACTTTGCCACTTATTACCTGGCATGACTTTGGACAATTGTTTAAAGCGGTGTCCTCATTTATAAAGTAGATGATCTCCAAGGCTCCCTGGCAGCTTTGAGACTCTGTGATCTAAAAGCATGAACAGTCCCAGGAAACTTGAGGGGCTAGCTCAGCCGTGGGCAAACTACGGCCCGTGGGCCGGAGCCGGCCCGTTTGAAATGAATAAAACTAAAAAAAAAAAAAAAGACCGTACCCTTTTATGTAATGATGTTTACTTTGAATTTATATTAGTTCACACAAACACTCCATCCATGCTTTTGTTCCGGCCCTCCGGTCCAGTTTAAGAACCCATTGTGGCCCTCGAGTCAAAAAGTTTGCCCACCCCTGGGCTAGCTGGTTTCCCATTCTGCTTCTGAACAAGAAAGTTGACTTAAGAATAAGAAAAGGAGCCCTAGCCAGTTTGGCTCAGTGGATAGAGCATTGGCCTGCGGACTGAAGGGTCCCAGGTTCGATTCCGGTCAAGGGCATACACCTAGGTTGAGGACTCCATCCCCAATGGGGGGGCGTGCAGGAGGCAGCCAATCTATGGTTCTCATCATTGATATTTCTATCTCTCTCTCCCTCTTCCTTCCTCTCTGAAATCAATAAAAATATGTTTTTAAAAAATAAGAAAAGGAGTCCATAGAACCTTATTGGCAGTGTTTCGTGTGATACCTGCTGTGCAGTTTGTTCCTCATATAATCTGACAATTGCTACTACAGCTTTTATATATTCCTTACTGTCTTTCCCTTAGAAGAAGAAATGTCTGCTCACTCTCATCTCTGAATCTTTCATAAATTAAAGATTATACAGAAATCACTCCTCAACCACTTCTCTTATTGTTTGATGAGCCCCATTTGGTTAGTATTCTTTCTTAAAGAATGTTTCCAAAATTTAAAAATCATTTGTATTGCTTCCTTTCACTGTAGCTCCATTTACCTTGTCTGAAACATCACCTTGATGGTCCAGATGTCCACAGGACTCACTATAAACACACACTGGCCTCTTCTAGGAGCGAGATGGTTTGGGAATTCCACTTTGTCACTGAAACATTATATCAATTTGCACTGCAGCTGGTGTACTTATTGAGTTGTACCAAGACTTACCAAGACTACAAATGGTTTTGTGTTCTAAAGTCCTGCTGGCTTTGCTTCACCAAATTCTCTTACTCATCATAACCAGACCACCTTATAGTCTTCTCCTGCTATGGAAGTAATAGGAGGGGATTGCCAAGAACTTGTAATGGGACAGGTACTTTCCTTTTTTATATTTCAATAGAGAAGAGCTGTTGTCTCTGGTTCTTGAAAATGAATTTAAAAAATGACTCTTCTGGAAAAGAGTCACATTAATTGATAGAAAAAACATTCAACCTCAATAGTTATTTCTTACTTATTCTCCTTGAGTAAGATGAACTCCAAAGAATAATTATCAATAAAGAAAGTGTTTTCCAACATCCACGTCTCATATCTATTCCCAATAAAGTCTGTATAAAGCCTCATCCTACACTGGACCTTCAGTTTTTCTCTGGCCAGCACAAAAATCTTTTATTACTGTAACTCTCAGGCAGTTATGGCAATATTTTTAGGGCAGTTGGAGACCAGTACACAAAGGAGTTTATGTTAATGTAATTTCTACATGGTGGAAACATATTCACCAATGATACATCAACTACAAAGCAAATTCATAAGTGAAAAGAGAGGAAAGGAGAAAATGTTTACAAAAGAAGAAAGAAGGTTAGGGGATGGGAAATAAAAGGTGATGGAATAATGACTGTGAATTATATACTTATTATAGTTTAGGATATAAGAACAGAAGTTGTGCAATTTTAATTTCAACACTGTGTGTTGCATAGAAGCCACTCATGACCTCGCTCTTTGCCAGTACCATTAGCAACAGTACTAACTGCTTCTTGAATAGACTGTTCTCTTTATGCTTTTAAGCTGTGAATGGATTGTAGCTTCTCCACAGGCACAGCTTCCTTTTATTACCAGCCCACATCCTGTAGGACAGTGTTTAAACACAGCGCCACCTTCAGGAAGATCCAACATGGTCCCTCAGGCTTGAGCAAAACAGTGGAGTGGACTACATCAGGATTGTCAGATCAGGGTACCAGTTTGCACAAGAAAATGTTATTAAAGGCTGTTTGTCAAAGCAGTGAAAAAGAGTAAAACAGCATCATAAAATTATCCGATGTCAGATTTTTTTTTTTCAGATCTGGATATATATATATATATTTTTTATTTTATTGCGTAAAGTATTACAAAGGGTATTACATATGTGTCCTTTTTCCCCCCCGCCCTTGATAGTCCCCTAGCCTCCCCTACCCCCCAGTGTCTTATGTCCATTGGTTATGCTTATATGCATGCATACAAGTCCTTTGGTTGATCTCTTACCCGCCTCCCTCCTGCCCCCCAACCCGTTGTCAGATTTAAAAGAATTAGAAAATTAGCTTAGTTCAAATTCTTTTGTAATTTTTATACCTTTTATTAATTCCACCTGCTTTGACACTCAAGGAACTTGTTAAGACTATTCTGGCAGTAGAAAATAAAGATTTTTCTATCAGTCTTTCTTTCTGTGTATCTTACAATTTAAGACATACTCACCAATGATACATGTGATAAGGGATTAATTTCCAAAATATATAAAGAACTCATACAACTCAACAGGAGGAAGACAAACAATCCAATTAAAAAATGGGCAAAGGACCTGATTAGACACTTCTCCAATGAGGACATACAATGCCAAGAGACATGAAAAAATGTTCAATGTCACTAATGATCAGAGAGATGCAAATTAAGACCACAAGGAGGTATCACATCACACCTGCTAGAATGGCTACTATCAATAAATCAACAAATAACAAGTGCTGGTGAGGATGTGGAGGAAAGGGAATCCTAGTGCACTGCTGGTGGGAATGCAGACTGGTGTAGCCACTGTGGGAAACGGTATGGAGTTTCCTCAAAAAATTAAAAATGGAACTGCCGTTTGATCTAGTGATCCCACTTGGGACGATATCCTAAGAATCTGAAAACACCAATCAGAAAAAAATATATGCACCTCTATGTTCATAGCAGCACAATGTACAATAGCTAAGATCTGGAAACAGACAAGTGCCCAGCAGAAGATGAGTGGATAAAAAAAGCTGTGGTACATTTATACAATGGAATACTGTGTATCAGTAAAAAAGAAGGATCTCTTACCCTTTGAGAGAGCATGGATGGGCCTGGAGATTATTATGCTAAGTGAAATAAGCTAGTCAGAGAAAGACAATTATCACATGATCTCAGTTATATGTGGAATCTAATGAACAAAATAGACATGGAAGAATGGAACAGACTGATAGATCTCAGAGGGAAGGGGGATGGGAAGAGATTAACCAAAGAATTTATATGCATATATGCATAGCCCATGGACACAGACAAGAGTGAGGTGAAGGTCTAAGGTGGGATGGGAGCTGGGTGGAGGGGGACCCAAGGGGGGAAAGTGGGGGACATCTGTAATACCCTCATTAATAAAAACGATTTTTAAAGAAGTGTGAATCATGACCAATTACTTTATAAATTCTCTGACTTAGCAACAATTAGAATTTCCCTTGTTCATTTGATTATGATCTTCTTTTTCATCTGTTTAGCAATTAGTTTTTAGAAGGTAAATATATTCCTGAACAGAAAATACAGGGCCATTTTAGAGTTACTCCTCATTACAAATTTATACCTGTCATGAAATGCTTAGTTCCCAGTTTTTACAAAACACTGTGAAATAAAATCTGTACACCTGTCATGTGGTTTGTTGTCTGGGTGTAAAGAAGAATTCCTGGAAATCCCCAGAGAACACTTTAGAGCAGCGGTTCTCAACCTGTGGCCGCGACCCCTTTGGGGGTCGAACGACGCTTCCACAGGGGTCGCCTAAGACCATCAAAAAACACATATACAATTACAAATTGTTTTTGTGATTAATCACTATGCTTTAATTATGTTCCATTTGTAACAATGAAATTGGGGGTCACCACAACATGAGGAACTGTATTAAGGGGTCGCGGCATTAGGAAGGTTGGGAACCACTGCCTTAGAGGATTTAGGATTTACAGCCTACTTTTCTAAACGTATGGAGTTCGGGGAATTGAATCAAGTACTCTAATTCTATGACTTTTCAACAGACAGAATGAGTCCGTCTCTTTCCTTCTCCTGTTGAAGGGAATAACCACAGCCCTTGCCCCACAACAGGCCAGCCAACGGTTACAGTCTCAGGGAATCACCTGGCCACTGACCCATCTTCACAACAAACTGCAGCTGGTGTGGAGTTCTTCCTTTTCGCTTAAAAAGTTATTACTGTATAAAACTTCTGACATATACAAAAGCAGAGAGAATAATACAATAGCTATACCCTTCTTGCAAATCAACTAAAGTCTTTTACCGAGTTCTAAACTCCATCTTAAGGGAAGCATAACTTTTGGCCAGCAGGGGGACCCCTTTCGATGGAGCCCTGGATCCACTCCTTCCTGAATCTTCCCGCATATACCCTTCCCTGAATGCTCTTTTCTCTGAACTGACAGACAGAACTGTGTTGAAAGCTGACTGGCTAAAAGCTGGTGTCTTATCGCACATCTTCGGCAGCCTGACCTGGTAACTCTCTGGGCC